ATACACTTATTATCTTAATGACCCAAGTGGCGACGTTCGAGTGATAAATGACCTTTTGATGACACTTAAAAAGATTAAGAATCAAAATAATTTACACCACAGAAAAACTCTAAAACGGCTGAAACAAAAAAATTAAAAAATGACTAATTTTGTAACACAATCCAAACGACAAACGTGTGCCATATTTTTTTATATCAAGCAAGTACGGCTTCATTAAGTTAGGTAGGTAATTCGATATGATGCGCATTTGTAAGGTTGTGAATTTTTGTATTCTGCTCATATGATATCAAATTTCAGTAAATTGGCCCTTTTACGTTCCTGTCACTAACTATTTCGAGAAACAACCACTTTTAAAGCGCTTGTACCTTCTTTCCTATGTTTGATTTCACGGTTTGATAGGTTAACATCATTTTTTTTGACCTGGCCCACCCTTGGTTATGGTTATGCTTTAAAATGTTTTCAGTTCGTAGGTATTCATATAATTTTGCCAAAATAAATGTATTTTAATTGCTATATTTATCCGCAATTGATTGGTATGTGATGAATCACCACCATTAATTTAATAATTCATTCTTAATATCTCATAGATTAGTATTATTTTAATTACTTTTAGCAGAATACCAAACCACGAATTATAATTGGATCTTTGAAAACGTATAAAAAAATTGTGAGAAATCTCACAGGTAAAATAAACATTTCTAATGGATTAAGTCATTAAATATTTGGACAGGAAATACCAAGTTTTGTCTTTTTGTCGAATTTATGTAAATATTGTTAGTGAATAAGTGCAAACTTAATTTCACAAAAAAATGACAAAGATAAAAAATATAGGGAATTTTATTATCGACAAAAAACATAACGAATTTTGTCGAAAGTTTAACAGGTAATGAGATATTTGATGTTTTTTGAAAACGAATGGCGCGGCACTACATTTTGTTAAATATCTCGATTTCTGTCAATTTTCCGAAAAAAATCATATTAACTTTTTGGTAGACAGTCAAAATCCCCACATTTTTCACCCATAATAACATTTGTTTGTAAAATCTATATTAACCAAGATAATTAAAAATTAACACAATCGATATAAAAAGAGTACAAAAAAACTAAACAATTGTTGTTAAACAAGTTGTACATACTTACAATACTTTTTAATCAAACTGATAGCAATCTCAATAGTAATTTATAGCTGTAGCTCAGTAAAAAACTATGTATTAGACTAAGTGGATTATTTTATAGTGCTAAAAGACATGCAATGATAATAGATAAGGACTAGGAAATTATACGGTTATATAGGAAAATTTACACGCAAAATAAAAGGCTATTTTGCTATGAATAATATTAAAATAAATATTGTAGACGATTTAAATATCAAAACAGTTTTATGGGTTATTTAAATTGTATTGTTTTAAACTTCTATTTCACGAAAAAATGTTATACATGAAAAATATAGAGAATTTCATTATCTACAAAAAACATTGCAACGAATTTCGTGGTAAATCTATATTAACGAAGATATGGCAATATATAGTAATGCATTCCTAAATAAATTTTTTAAGTTAAGTATTTAAATGGATTGATTGAAACTCATTAGGTTATTAGAGTGTGTTTAGTAGAGGTGCCGCGAGACACGAGACACGAGACGTCTCGTCTCGTCTCGTCTCGTCTCGAAGCCATTTTGTCTCGTCTCGAGAGCATTTTGTCTCGAATTTCGAGACGAGACGAGACGAGATAAGATCCTTCGAGACAAGGCGAGACGAGACGAGACGAGACATATTCGAGACATATTCGAAATATTTTAATGACTTAATACGCTTTAAACGAATGATAATAACAGCATTTAAGTTTTAATAATTGTTTTTAACTTCAGAATTAGCAATAAACAGCATTATACGGCATGACCTGGTAATTCGTGCATATAAATTGTTAAAATAAAACTTGTAATAAAATATAAAACCATTATTCAAAAACTGCATGGTGTTTTCGATGACATACATACATATACCTTATAGAGAATAAACAGTAAAAAAGAAACCAAATAAATGTATCTTATAATAAACAAAATAAATCAATAAACTCTAAACTGAAAATAAATATTAAATATATCATTAACATTGTTAGTACGAATATCACATTACAGGGAAATTGGTAAGTATGAGTATGAGTATAAGAGACGTATAACCAGCCCCATTTCATCATCACTCTCGGACCCCGTACAGGCCTATGTTTACTTACGCCGATTTTTGTTCGCCCCCAGCAACTGCCCGGCTTCACCCGTGTTTGCTGGGTGCGAATGTCCATTGCGTTCCGTACTGTCCCCTATTTGGCGCTCGAGAGCGAGATGCGAATAGTTTTAATAGCCATTCTCGGGTTCGCCGAGCCGATGCTATACGCCCAGTAGGGTATAGGAGAAGGGACGGGAGGGTGTTGGTTTTTGGGGGACAATTACGCCGACTTAAAACTAAGTATGACGCGGAATCCCCCTAGACCAGTCGATTAGTATTACTCCAAACATTTGGGATTACTATTTGGAGTTGGGGAGTTGTTATTTCACTGCAAGGGTGTAGTTTCCTAGTCGAGGTCTTTGTCTTGTTCGTTATTGTCATTGTCCGTATCCTGGTCAGATAGTTCCTGCACTTGGTAAAGTGTGTCAGTTGTTTTTAATAAATTTTGTCCCAAGCACGTTTTGTGGTAGAGTTTTGTCTTTTTTTTTTAAATTCCAAAATTAAGTATTGCATTTATTTATTAGTTAAACAAATGACAAGCGCAATTATTCTGTTATCTAATGTTTACAAATCTAGTAGAGTTTGGTTATTAGGCTTTTTTTTACTGTGTTAGAGTTATAGTGATTATTGTGTTAGTTTATTCTGTGAGTCTAGTGTTTGTTTTCGGTTTCGTTTGGGATTGCATTACGCATTTGTTGTTGACAGATTTATTGCCCTAAAGATATATGCCGTATTTAAATTGCAGATTTTGTATTAGGTCATGCATATTCTTAAGGTAACTTATCAATTTTTTTGCGGATGGCCACCTCCCCTCTTGTTTGACCTCCTTTGTTTGTCCAGTGAAAAGCGTCCAATGACAGATGGCACTTAACTCATCACTTAACACTTCACTCCTTAATGACCGTTACACCATTTTAGTTTGAACTCTATGAAAATTGTTTGTTTCACTTTATTAGTTTGCACTGGGGCATGTATAGGAATAGGTAAGTTAGACTAATCAAAGTTTAGCTTATCTTTTAACGTACCTACAAGTGTACCATGAATTAAGACATAATAATGAACGAGCCGACTTAGCATTAGGTCGATTCCGAAGTTCAGTGACTACTAATCCAGCTTTTCAAAAAAGGCGTTCTGAAGAAACGCTTGATGCGGTAATACTTAATAGGTCTCTTGCCATCTTTGAAATGTGTGGATAATTTACTTCATTTCTTTTCCACCATTCCAACAATATTTCCCCTTTTGATGCTCTCTCTGAATAAAAGTATGCGTTTAGTTCTTGTTTCCAAAACGCTTCAGTTTCTGATTGAGGAGTAGCCTTTTTGAGTAAAAATTCAATATCCATGTCTTTATCTGAGCCAGATTTTTCTTCAGTTTCTTGTATAGGTGGAATTGGCCTAGTCGGTGCGTATTTTTACAATAAATTGTTTCAAATTTTTGGTATGATTTATTTTTCATTTCTGCACCACAGAAAGTCATTGAAAAGGTTTCCAATTTGTGACGTGGATCTATTAAGAGTGAGGCGAATAACTGCGTTATCATTTTAGTTTATCCCACTTTTAAGAGCTTATATCTTTTTTGTTTTTTCAGTAAGACATTTTTTATTGAATTTATCCGATAATTCAAAATTAAATTAAGATAAACCAAAAAACCAAAACAATTCGAGACAAACGAGACAAAACGAGACGAGACGAGATAAGGCCTTGTCTCGTCTCGTCTCGAACTTGTCTCGTCTCGTCTCGAAAAATTTTATCTCGAAATTTCGAGACGAGACGAGACAAGGCCTTATCTCGTCTCGTCTCGTCTCGCGGTAACTCTAGTGTTTAGGTGTACACTCATTATAAAGTCCTTAAAGCGGTATAAATCAAATAGGTACCTGTCAATGACTCTTGTAAGTCGTTAAGATTAAAAATAATGTACTTAAATAATTTTTTAATGTTTAAATAATGACAATAAATCATTTAAAATTCCAAAGATTAAAAAATGTGAATGTTTCAATGAAAAAACTTTATTTTGTAATACCCTGTATATCAATAAATTCATTTTAAAATCCAATTTAAATAATTCCATTGCTAAAACCACAAAACACAGAATATCGTTTTACTGTGTTTTACTGCTAAGAAAACACATAAAAATCGTATTAAAAAGCCTTAAAGTTTTAAATGTTTTCCACTGATTTATAGTGACAATAGTTCGAACATAAAATGTTATTTATGTTGTCAAATTTACACATTTAAAATAACGGAAAGGATTTTTTTGCATTTTTCAAATATTTGTCTGTAACTTTTATGTTTTTTGAAATATTTTGATGAAATTTTCAGACAATATAAAACAAGTATTTTTCACGTGTACAAAAATTTTTAAGTTATTATCACTGATATTTATAGGATAAATCATGTTTGTTTTATAAACAAATAAATTTTGACGTTTTAATGACACATATTGTTATTAAACAAGTGAAATCTGTCTAAAATATTGTTACATAAACATAATATAAGGCCTTAACGTTAACGTCATAAATTAAGACAAAATACTATTAAAAATATTAAAAACCCTTATTAGAGTTGCAATAAATCACCTAAAATCTATAATAAACGTCTTCTTTAGAATATTTTCTCAGTAAAATCGATATTTTTAATAAAAATGTGTATAAATCAAAATAATCGGCCAGCTAAATACTGTGGACATTTTTGATACGCCCAAACATAGTGTCCTACATACTTTTTTAAATGAAAAACACGTAATGCCGACTAAAATTAACTTAAACCAAGTAAAACTCACCTCAAGGGTTAATTTCCATGTAAAACATAAATCCGAGGAGGCCGGAATGCGAAATAAAGTCGAAAAAACCAAGTCGCCCTGTCGAGTAACTACATAGGCCACTGCGATGTGAACAAAGACGTTCTTATAAGTTTTACTTCACCAATTTTCGCGCATTTTCGCCGCTTTTCCGGCCGTTCGTCACTGAAAATGCGTACCATGTGCGGCAATAAACATTTCCCGAACCGTTTCGAAAGGTTTTTCACTTAATTAGCACGGTTTTTCACTTTAAAACATCGCGATTACAGAACGGTACTTTGATACGCCATTTTGTACTTCGTAAACAGGTGTGCCGCCGCGAAAGTCACTAGATGTGCGGGCAGGGGAGCCAACCGCGCAGAGAAAGTCACCAGATTTGCCCGGTGCTTTTGTTTACTAACAGGATTATGGTTATTTATTATTTAAATAATCGGCATTTGCATATGAATGTTTTTTATTCGATTTTAATGACTTATAAGATTCAATTATCGTGTATTTCTTCATGTAACTCGTACAATATGAATAAAAACACGATATATCATTTATTAACCAAAAATTATAAAAAAAACAAAAATAATGCAATAAAATAGTCTATTTTCGTATAAAATATGTATATAATAATATTTAATAATTTTCCAGGAATTTTTTGTGCGCAAAACTGTCTTTTACCAATATTATAAATCCAGGGGTACCAGCCTTGACAATATAACTAAAAAAAATAAAAATTATACATTATACATTTTCGCGTATATCTTCAAAAATATAATAGATATTAAGTTGAAATTTGGTATACACATTAAAAAAAGATTGTTTTATATTGTGTGTAAATTTTATAAAAATATTTTGAAAAACAAAATAGTTATAACATTTTTTATAGGTACTTACTCTTTATTTTTCAATATTTCTCCTAAAGTTTGAGTGGTATCAACCTCAATTAATTTATTTTTTTGAGATTCAAAATAAATAATCAAATTTTGTGGTTTATAAACTTTTTTGTCATCCCATTCAGGTGGTTCAGCAAATACTTCCTGTAATTGGTCAGAAAATCTAAAAAGATAGAAAAAAAAGTAACAAAAATTTAATTTTTATTATTTTTTACATTTGCTTTTCATTGAACTCCTGTATATAGTCCATTAATTTTATTTCTGGGTACATAAATACCACAGGCCATATTAAATTATTTTCTGTATTAATATAAACTCTATTTTGAGCCAATTGTGGTACACAAGGCTCCAATTTCTCTAAAGTAATACCACCTGTAAAAAAATTAATAAAAAATTGTTTTAGTGTTGTTATATTACAAAAAACAAACCTTTGCCAGTGTCAATGGTAATTCCCCTATTTTTTATTTCTTTTATTAACATTTCTTCTTCCAACTCACGTTTTTTGGCTTCTGATTTCATTTTCCTTTCATTCCTTTCCTTCAGTTTTGCACTTGCAACGCATTTTTTTCGAATCTCTTGCATTTCCTTATTATTTTTGTCACTATTTAATATTTTATCGCAATATTCCACACCTTTTTCGTAACTTTTCATTTCATAGCAACAATTGGCAGCCCTGATAATGCTTTTCGTGTAATTAGGCTGGTATTTTAAAGCCATCTCACAATCCCTTAGAGATGATCTAAAATATCAAATATGTTGTTTGTTTTCTGGAATATTTTGATGAAATTTGCACACAATATAAAACAATTATTTCTTAATATGTACAACAAATTTGAACCTAATATCTTGAACATTATGAAAGATATAAACAAAAAGGTAAAAGTTAGATATACAGTTCTAAATCGTCAGATTCGCACCAAATTTGGTGTCAGTATATCTTAAACATACTGTATATTGTGTACGAAATTTGGTTGTCATAATATTAGTAGTTTTGGTAAAATTTCGATTTTTGTTTTGTTAGAAATGACACACTTTTACAAAACACACTGTAACTTTTTTGTTTTTGAAAATATTTTGATAAAATTTGGGGACAATATTAAACAAACATCCTTTTTACCTGTAATTCTTTAAAAAATAATTAGAAGCAGCCCTGTTATTGTATAAAGTAGCTTGAACATTGTTATCATTGCAGTTAGCTTTAATTCCTTCAGTATAAGATAAAATGGCAAGTCTGTAATTTTTGTGTTTAAAATTAAAATTTCCGTCGTCCTTATAGGCTATGGCAAGGTCTGCAAGCATAAAAACAATTAAAACACTGTTTATTTTTAAATTAAACTATATATACCTAATGGTTCATTTTCTTCAGGATCGTATTTTAATTTTTGTAACCCTTCGTATAAGGGGTGCATTTTTTCACCTGGTTCAGGGATCTTTTTCATAAAAAAAGGGTGTGATTGTAATTCCTACAAAAATACTGTAATTACCCCCAAAAAACAGTATGTGATTAATTACACCTATGTTTACTATTTATTAAAATAAAAGGTATTAATTTTAATAATGAAGGATGTTATCTTATATAGAATTTACTGCTTAACAAAATTTAACTCCTGATATTTTTTCGAGTTTTGCTTCGTTCAAGAGTTATAAGCAATTTTATCAACTTGATACCTCAATCCACTCCTCAGTCATCGGCATTTGGTTTTCTTGGGGTTCTCTTTTCGGTAAGCTGTTGATAAAATCGTCCAGATCTTTATCGAGCTTCGCAGCCAGCTGCAAGCGCTCTTCTTCGCTCATTTTTTGTTTGTTTTCTTGCATTTTTGACGTTGTTACAAAACATAACCTTCAAACTGTTTGAGGTTATTTATTATCTATGGTTAGAACCAGTGTTGTTACAAGTAAAAAAATATTTGTACCAGTTTCTAGGGAATTATTGTACCACATTGTACCAACATTAAAAATTGTTAAAAATGGCGGGAAATACAAATTTTAAAATTTATTAAAAAATGCATATTTATTTAAAAATATATAAATAAAACGTATATAATATATGTTATAAAATAAAACAGTCTTTCTATCACAAAAATAAAAACAAAATATCAGTTAAATAAATAAATGTCTTTCTCACTAAAAAATAAAATACCTTTGGTTAAAAACTATCAGTTATTTAAAAATATAATAAATAATTAACTATTCTGAATCAGAATCTATAGAGTTTATCTTAAAATTACGTGGCGGTAAAATAAGACCATTTTTAATATTTTGTTTCACAGCCAAAATATTTGCACATGTACTTATTTTAAGTCTATTTCTTAACTTTGATTTTATAATACTTAGCTGGGAAAACACCCTTTCTGCAGCAGCAGAAGAGTGTGGTAAAGAAAATACACACTTTACAACTTTCATTATATTACCAAACCTCAGCTGATGGCGCTGGCACAAAAATGAAAAATAAATTGAAAAAACAAAAATAAAAAAAAACAATTTTTAAAAATTGTACCAAATTTGCCATTGTGGTACCATTGTACCAGATAATTCTCAAATGTACCGAATTTGGTACAATTGTACCAATTGTAACAACACTGGTTAGAACGCGTGGCACATCAAAAGTAGGCGTAATGTACCGTTGTCGTTACATTTTAAAATTTAAGTATGTATCGCCATCTATTTTAAAAAAGCTGAACTAATTATACAGCCACCAAAATTTTTGCTTTTATAGTTTAGCCATACTTAGATAGATGGCGCTGCTAACAACATTTTGTAGGTAGGCAAGTAATGAAACATGTTGGGTTGCCTACCTACAAAGTGTTATTTGCGGCGCCATCTATCTATGAATTGCTAAACTTTTGATGTAGATTATTAGTTTAGTAGTTCTTTTATAGATGGCAGTGCCATTTATATATTTTTGTAGACAACCAACATTACATTTATTTAACAAATTTTGTTTTGTCTTGAACAAGTTTATATTTTTAATGAATTTAATTAAGTATTTAGTATTCGTTATACATTTCTTGAACAAATTATGATTCTAGCAAAGTAAGAGTAGCTATATACTGTGTACTTATGTCCAAATTCTTAATTTATCGGTGTAGAAACACTGTCTATAGACCTGTAGAGGTAAATATACGTTTAATGGTTTATAAAGGTTTTATATTGTTTTTCACAGCTTCTTAAAGTATTTTAGAGTTAATACACCTATTCTGTGATCAATAAAAATATGTGGTAGGGTTTTCATACACAATGGAGCAAATAGTCATTAAAAAGGAACCTGAAGGACTATTGGAACATTCTGAAGGATCTGGGAAAGTAACAAAACAAGAAATCAAAGAAGAATTGGATTATTGCGATAATTCCATGAACTGTGATGAATTGGGGGTTAAAGAAGAATCAGAAACGTCCTCCAATGAAGGAGTTGAGCAGTTTGAAATGAAATTTGAAGCTGAAGATGAAAAATTTCTTGACAAGGGGTAAGCATAAATCACCATGGCAACAGTTGTTTGACAGTTGACATGTCGAAACATAACCTTAAATTCCTACACAGCCTGCTTGTTTTTATCACAAAACACTATACACAATTGTTTTAGGTTAAATTAAAGGTATAATATGTTGAAATTTTGTTTCTTATATGGTAATGTATAATTAAATGTTGTTGTAGGAGGGACAGTGATGATTTAAGTAAAGAAATACTGGAGAAAAGTTGTGAAAAGTTGTTTGAATGTGATTTATGTGATAAGAAATATCAAAGAAGGAATAATTTGAATGACCATGTAAAGTATGTGCATGGCAAACATGCACTGAATAAATTGAAATGTGACCACTGTGACTATGTGACGGTGAGAAAAAATAGTTTTAAAATGCACTTAAAAATTCACGATAAGAAAACCCATCTTAAATGTAATTTTTGCGAATACACTGCTGCCCATTTAATTTATTTAAACGCCCACATTTTAAGAAAACACAAATTGGAAAATAAAGGAGATAATAAAATAAAAATAACAAGTAAAATATATACATGCACAAAATGCTCGTACTCAAACGTCAGAAAATCAAATTACGATAATCACATCAAAATTTGTTTGAACTTGAAAAACGTCAAATGGTATAAATGTCACTTGTGTCACTATAAAAGCATTCAAAAAAGCAGTTTAAAAAATCACATAATAAGACACAATAAAATTAAAGAGCTGAATTGCTCATTTTGCAAATACCATTGTTTTAGAAAACCAACTTTAGACTACCACATTTTGACCACACATTCCGATTTATTAAACGAATCCAATAAACATTTAATCACTTCAAAAACACATTGTTGCCAACACTGTAATTATAAAACTATATATGAAAATCATTTTAAAAACCACAACCATTGATTTCATACTTATTGTTATGTTTTAATAAATTATCTCAATTTTTTTAATTGTTGTTTTATTTACCCAGATTACTGATTAAACCGTCAAATTTACAATATTAAAAAGATAAAAATTTAGATATTATTTTTAATAACATGATATTCAGAGCTGCCAACCTAAACTTCAAATCCCTACAGAATGGGGTTTCAAATTTAAATTTGACAATAAAAACTATCGTTTCCAAATTAAAGGCGCTTTTTGTAATTTCAGAGTTTCTATTTACTGCGTGAAATTTTGACGCCTGACAATTTTTAATTATTCATAAAATAAGGACAGATTAGATAGAAATAAGCAATGTGGGTTGCCTACCTCCAACATGTACATAACGTTATTTGCAGCGCCATCTATCTAAGTTTGGCTGAACTAAAACAGTAAATCCTTAATTCATTAAATTTGATGTAGATGGCGCTACCATTTATTTATTTTTGTTGGCAACCACCATTACATTTGTTTTCTTCTAATTTTAATAAATTACATTATGTTTTGTAGCTACAAGTCCTAGCTCTTTATTTTACGGTATAAAAACAGTCTGCATGTAAAGTAAGTATACACAATGGAGAAAATAGTGGTTAAAAGAGAACCAGAAGAAGTAGGCGACGATTTCAAAGGAAATATGATGAATTACGATGAACCTGCAACATCTGTGATAGTGATAAAACAAGAAATCAAAGAAGAATTTAATGATGGTGACAACTCCATGCACAGTGATGAATATGGGTTGAAAGAAGAAACAGAAACGTCCACGGATGACAGAGTTGAGCAATGCGAAATAAAATTTGAAGCTGAAGATGAAACGCTTCTCAATAAAGGGTAAGCAGCGTTGCCACTTTATGCATTATCTCCATGGCAACAGTTGTTTGACAGTTGACATTTTAAAAAATGTTGTAGGAGTGACAGTGAAGATGTAAATGAAGATATACTAGAGAAACTACTGCTTCCAGAAGGTTATTATTAAAAAAAATTAACTCTTTATATTTAAAAATTGTTATTTACTTTGTACATGTTGTAGTGAAAACAAATGACACTTTTTTTTGCAGGAAGTCGTGTTGGCAAAGAAAAATTGTTGGAATGTGATATTTGTGCTAGAAAATATCAATCAAAGGAAGGTTTGAGGAGACATAAAAAGTTTTTTCATAAAAAAGACGAGCAAGTGCTCTTTAAATGTGGCCAATGCGATTATAAAACTGCAGACAGATGTCATTTAAAAAGGCATTCAAATAATATTCATGAGAAAAAAAATTACCTGAAATGTAATTTTTGTGAGTATACGACTCCTCTTTTGGTTTATCTAAATGAACACAAATTAAGAAAGCATAAAGGGGAAAATGAAGTGGAAATAACGAGTAAAATTTATCGGTGCATTAAATGCGAATATTCAACTGTCAGAAAATCACATTATGAAAATCACGTGAAAGTGTGTTTGAAATTGAAAAATGTTGAATGGTATAAATGTCACATTTGTCAGTACAAAACTATTAGAAAATTCGACTTAAGAACTCATTTAAAAAAACATGATGAAATAAAAAAATTGAAATGTTTATTTTGCAACTATAAATGTAACATAAAGCAACATCTAGACAACCATATTTTAACAAAGCATTTGGATTTGTTGAACGAATCAAATATAAATCTTATCACTTCCAAATTTCACACATGCGAACATTGTAACTATAAAACTACAGGTGCCAATGGTTTGAAAAAACATATAAACAATAATCATAGAGAATCTATTTTAACAGAAAGTCCAAAGTTTGTTTAATTTTAAGTTGTTAATAAATTATTACTATTTTTAAATTGGTTTTTTAATTAAACTTATTACGTACCTTTAATTACATCTCATATTAATTAATACATTCAAAAAACAAACTCGCAATTTAGAAGGTTAAATTTTTGAGGTTATATTAAATCTGACATTTGGTTAGGTTAAGCCATACTTAGATAGAGGGCGCCACCAACAATATTTTGTAGGTAGGCAATTAGTATACAAACACGTTTTATAAGGGTTGCCTACCTACAAAATGATATCTGCAGCGCCATCTATCCAAGTATGGTTAAACTAACGTGATTGAAAGTTCGGTAGAAAAATATTTAGTTCAGCAATTTTTTTATAGATAACGCTGCTATTTTTTTTAATTTATTTTAGTAGGCAACCAAATGTCATTATTATGCTAATCCGATTGTGTTATAATCTGTGGAAGTATATGGCTCTGTTATACACATCGCGCCATCTGTCAGTAAATAGATGAACCACAATTTAAATTGGAGAACGGTTTAATTTTGCAATTTTTAGTTTAAAAACCATTTGTTCTTAATTAAACTTAATTAATTCGCATTTCATGGCTTTAAATGGTAATTTCTATTAATTGGTGGCAAAAATTATCGTTTTTGATACATAACCAAAAGTGACGTTTAAAACGTCAAAATCTTAATGCACAGTGGGATCTGATTTGTTTTTAGGTGGAATAATAATATTTTGTTTGGTAAATGTTGCGCACCTTGAAATTCGATGAATTAAAATTTTGGTTGACATAATTTCAGTTTCAGCTGAAATGTCATACCCCAAAATTGTGCCCCTTTTTAATTTTAGACTCCTATAGATTTTGTATACAATATTTAAAAAAAAAATTTCCCAATATTCTATTCTTCAAGAAAAAGTAAGAATTGTTCATATCTCGTGTACACCAATGACACCTGTTACAGTAGGAATTATTAAAAACAGAATCTGACAAACAAACTAAAAACATAATCTATCTATGAAAAACATCAACTTTCAATAGTTTGACAGTGTCAAAGAAAAAATAAGTTTTTTTTATCTAAAATTGTGTGATAAATTTTATAAACATGGGGATGAAAGTCGGCCTCATCATGAAAATCATAGAACTGGTAAGCATATCCCTTAAAACTAACTTCATGCTTTAACGAAAACATATTTCAGATTCTATTCGGTATAACGACCATTATCGCCGTGTTCTGGACCGTCAGTGGAATACTAGGCATCGAAATGATACCAATAATGGGCTACGTCTTGATAAGCATAGTGGTGTTAGTGGAAATGATCAAAAAGTGGTTGACCAAATTGGAAAATTACATGTACATGGGAGCGGGCATGTGGTTAAGTCTGGAGGCCTCCATTCACTTGTTTTGTCTCCATGGGGCCAAAGAAGCCCCATATGTCAGCATCTTGCTGTTTTTGGCTTTTGTAGCATTACTTATCGATACCGTTTTGACCGTTTTGGGGAAGACTAGTACAAACGTGGATGCTTAGAGTTTCGGGTTTCGAATAAATAAATTGAAGTAAATATTTTTATTGTGTTTTCTTTGTTGAATTTTATGCCAAACTGATATGTTTAATTTAGTAAATAGGTATCTGTTTCTTATGTATATAGCGAATTAAAAATGTGTATATATTTTTTTCGCTTAATTAAAAATTAACAGTTAAAGTTAACTTAATTAATGCTTTTAACAAGCTATTTATGTTTATTAATAAATATGTAGGTAAGTACAGAGTCATTCCATGATGATACTAATGGTGAAAAAATAAGTATGTTCTTTTCGCATTAAATCTGATGAATTTTGAAAGAAAACATTCCAAAAAATATTGTGCGACAAAAAAACTTCCTGGATTTCGTCACAGTCTCAAAAACATTGTGTGTTTTCTTCTTACTTTGCCACTATCCCACCCGAAACGAAAAATCAGGTAATTGTTTTACTATTAAATCTTCCAGATTGATTAGTGTAATAATATTTAGTAAAAGTAACGTTATGGTGGTAATGGTTTAAAATACCAACTAATATCTGAGCATGAGACTAATTTGATATGTTTTACTTGAGTAAAAAGTAGGCACACAATACAAAATTTTACTTCAATTTATTTATTTGAAACCCGAAACTCTAAGCATCCACGTTTGTACTAGTCTTCCCCAAAACAGTCAAAACGATATCGATGAGTAATGCTACAAAAGCCAAAAACAGCAAGATGCTGACATATGGGGCTTCTTTGGCTCCATGGAGACAAAACAAGTGAATGGAGGCCTCCAGGCTTAACCACATGCCCGCTCCCATGTACATGTAATTTTCCAATTTGGTCAACCACTTTTTGATCATTTCTACCAGCACCACTATGCTTATCAAGACAAATCCCCCTATTGGTATCTCTTCGATTCCCAAGATTCCATTAACTGTCCAAAAAAAGGAGATAACATTTGTTAAAGCGAATAGAATCTGAAAAATATTGTTGTTAAAGCATGAAGTTAGTTTTAAGGGATATATGCTTACCAGTTCTATGATTTTCATGATGAGGCCGACTTTCATCCCCATGTTTATAAAATTTATCACACAATTTTAGATAAAAAAACTTATTTTTTCTTTGACACTGTCAAACTATTGAAAGTTGATGTTTTCCATAGATAGATTATGTTTTTTTGTTTTTAATGATTATTTCCCTTATTATAATATGAACCAATCAAAAGCCTTGAATTTTCGAATAAATTTCGTTTAAATAAGCGATTAAATCACTAGAACTATTTAACAGCGATTAAATTTTAGCCTCCATATTGGATTTTTGTTTACGATTTTATGGTGTTATTTAAAAACAATAAAAAATAAGTTATCTAGTTTACGAAATATCAATTATTACTTATTACATACCTTAAATTAATGGAATTTTCTTTAAAAAAATATTTATAAATTTTGACACATACGTCAGATTTTATGAATTGTCAAATAGTTTCCTTTAATTCGAGAAATAATCTAGACGTATATCACTCAACCTATAAATTTAATCTGTCAAACTATGTTCAGTAAGTTTTTTATTTGATTTTTCTTTTTGGAAAATAGTTTCATGCAAAATAATTAAAAATAAAACCCCTCGACCGCTACGCGGTCTCGTGATTTTATTAAATTATTTTGCATTCAACATTTTGCAAGAATAACCAAACAAAAAACTACTGAGCCTAGTTTAACCGATTAAATTTATAGTTCTCGTGATAAAATATAAGAGAAATATTTTTTTCTTTGCTGCAGTGTATAATCGACTTTTTTCTAATTTTCTTATTTTGCTTTTTTCGATGAAACAACCGTCCCAAGCAGCATTTTAAGTTTACTACCAAGCCAACAAGTACTTTTACAGTTACCTAACCAAAACGGTTTGCACAAATAAAAGTAAGACAATCATTCATTTGATCATAGCTGTAATTCAGGTATTGCAAATACAGTACACCATTGGCTCAATATAAAAGCTTTTTCTCTGTGCAGTAGTCTTTAAAAGATACTCGTTTTTTGAGAAAAAAAACATCATGTTTTGGTTAATTTTTATTCCCAAAAATCCAATACATATAGGTGGGTTTAGGTACTTTAAGTTTATTATTTATCACCCTTTTTTTATTGCTTCTGTAATCACACCGATCAATGGATTAGCAAGGGGTATGAGCATGCCCAATAACAATGGGACTACTGCATCTTCTGGTTGTTTTCCAGCAAGTTGATTTCGACTCTTATGCAAGTCAATCCTTTGTTTGTCAAAGTGCAAAGAGTCAGAATCCTCATGTTGTTCCAATTTTTTACCATCAGCTGGTGAAGAATCGTATGTTTGAAAATAAGGTGTTTGATGATTGGGAGAAACGGCTGCAGTATAGTATGGGTTATAACGACGGTGGCCCTGGGCGTACCATGACCTACCATGACGGTAGGGTTCTAAAAAAAATTAAACACATATAAAGTAATGGTATCCCTAATATGTTTTTACATATTTCAATTGAGTTAAAAACCAAATTAGGGTCCCATTCTGAACTCTGGGAAAAACTCACCATTTCCATATGCGTTCATATATGGAGCTACAATAAATAATTTTTAATTAGTTAGGTTTACTATTAATTTGTTTTTCTGTAAACAATCCTAGGACATTTTTAAAAAAATGTACAAACGTATTAAGTTGACTTACCAGCTTGGGAACCCAAAACAACACCTAGGACAAATAATACAAGTAACTTCATGTTGATTATTTCATCAACCTCATTGGAATACCTTTAGTTTTTCGTTGCAACTCCCTTTTTATTTTAATTATTTAAATGCATAAACCACGCATAGTTGATTTTGATAAAAATATATACCTACATATGGGTGATTCTACAAAAGTTGGACAACTTGATGTCATCAGTCAATAGAGTAGGTATTTTAATATTTTTCTGTAAATATTTTAGTATATTACAAAAGATCCAGGTTTTTTAACTTGTCCACCCAATTTTAATGTATTTTTTCAAAAGCACGTTTGTAGAAAAACTTAATAAATATTCAAAACATCAGTACCTTGGCGTGTCACTACTCCTGAATCAAATATTTGAGTGATTTTATTTTAAAATGTATTAAATTTATCTTAAATTTTTCAATTTCACTACAAACTATAAAACATTAAATAATGTATTTTTCATACTTTATCATAGATTCGAATAACAGCAATTTTTAAAAAATTAATCTTTGTACTCTAGATATTTCAGAAACTGTTTGAAAAAGTGACTGGCCCGGTCTGGAACAGTATATTTATTATATTATCTATGTTCTCATAACAAAATACTGTTTAATTTTCTCCGAAAACTATATAAACAAAATGAGGTCAAAAGTTGCCCAACTTTTGTAGAATAACCCATATATTAATCAATAAAAATGTAATGATCCAAAAAATATTTGCATATATTGTTTTTTTATTGCCTTGTACTTTAACTATTTAAATGGGGCATGTCTTGTTAGGCACGTTGCCTACATTAAAGTTTAGTTTTATACAAATTGACAGTAATATTTATTATATATCGATAATAAGAAATAATCACGAAACTTTTTCTTCTTTTAATTTGCAAGTTACTACAAGTATTAACGTCCAGTGGCTTTAACAAAATACCCATTCACCATTGGAGTCCAATGATTGGACAACATTCCTTGTATTCACATAAAATTGTAATTTCTTTTATATAAATTCTTTTCAAAGCGAAGATTATTATCCGCTGTCTCTCCTAGGCCGTAGTCACCTATATTTGACTACTTTTTTATATGATTTTACTTATATTTACTTATATTTAACTACGAATTTTGACAATACAACAATTTAAACAAAACCACAATTACATTTATAACTAGTTTAGTGTTTTAATCAATGAAACCAAAACGTCAACAAAAGTCAGATTATTCCAAATAACATATTTATATATAAATATAAAAATGGAGGAATTTTTGAGCAGCGAAATAGGTAAACCATAATGGCGACTTAAAGTTTATGTCTATGGACTAATTTATTTAATTTTTCAAGGCTTGGTGTTATTTCTGGTTTTTTGCGGCACATTTATACTTTTTTCCATAATTGTTATCGTCATTGCGAGTGTGGGGTTTTATAAATGTCCTGCTGAAGGTATTATAATCCCTCTTTGTTTTATAGTGGCTGGTAAATATGCCTACATTAAAATTTTATTTTTTATTTATTTTTTTAAATTTTAGGAGTTGGGGTTATTTTTTATATTGCAGTAGTAATCGCTAAAAGGTTTACTGAGAAAGATATCAAATGGAAGAATGTAACCTTAACCATATTCGAAGTAATAACAGCTTTTCTTGCAGGTGTACCTCTCGGTTACGGTAATTATAATTTTGTTATTTTTATCTGACGCGAGAGTAAATCTAATATAATTTTACTTATTTCAATTTTTTAAAAGGTTATTAAGAAAGTTTTCGTTATATTTTTTGTGTTTGCATTTTATCATCTTGATGTATTGACAATCAATTTATAGGAACAATTAGAGCCTGGAAATTATTTGAACCAAGTTATGATGAAGAAGATGGAAATGAATATTGTGCCAAATATTTATATTTTACTGTAATAGTTTACTCTACAACACTATTTGCAGTAACATTAGTTTTATTGGTTATATCTATAGTTCAATGTATAATAAAACTCTTAGATAACCAATAAAAATTCATTTCATCAAGATTCATTTTTAATTTTATACTTCTACTAGATTTTGTATACAATATTTAAAAAATAAATACATTAAAAAAAATATTTACTATTATTTTTACTTTAGGTGTTTACAAAGTTTACAGATTTAAATAATTCAAAAACTGACATTTTGACAGTGCTTTCCCATGACGACTCGGATTAAAATGAAATTTGGCGCATTCACCTTTTTTTTAAATGGTGGATGCTCCGGGAATAATAATATATTATTAGGTATATTACCCATTGGGTAATTATGTCTAAAGGGTTTTTGAATATTCATAATAGTATATTATGTATCAAGTTTGATAAACGCCATTTTAGTATATAAACGAGGTGCATACTATACTTTTTCTACGACAAATACTTATTAATACTAAAATTTATATAGAGCGCTATCTATGAAACAACAGGGGAAACTGTCAAATGTCACATTCAGATCCACATTTTTACATTTTATAAACATAATTATAAAGGTTATAAATCGAAATGTATCTTGAAAATTGACAGTTCTTCACAGTGAAAGTAAAGGAAATGTTTTATGAGGACTTTACAGTGGAGTCCGTGCCCGAATTTAAGTTATAGTTTACTGCCGGCGAAATTCATATAAACTTTTCAAATATTGGCGTCAAGAAACTTTTTAATATTTTTGTATTGAGATAATAAAATAATTTTCACATTTAGTATTATTTTACAAGAATGGCACTTTATTTTAACGATTGTATGACATTTGACAACTGTCAACTAACTTAAAACTAACTTCAGCCCGTGACTAAAAACCTGTTGCTAACTTCAGCCCGTGACTAAAGCGCCGTAAAGCCACAACTTGTCAATGTGTGTTTAAAAGGTCACTTAGTGTCATGGAAACATGTACGATAAAGAGCGTTTTAAAGGTGGGAGTAGAAAAAAATACATATTAATCCCGGCGCATTCGCCATTTTTGACAAAATGGCGAATTTACATTATAATATATATATTATATATTATTATTATTATATATTATATAGGTACTGTCAATTATTTTGCTTTCTCTATGGTTATGACCCTTTGTTTGCGCTAAAAAAACGTCAAAAGATTATCCCAAGTAATAAATTAAAAATATAAAAATGGAGGGAGTACCTATTTATTTCATTTTGATTTGTAAGTTTACATTTAAATACATTATTATTATTTTTAGACATTTATTTTTTAATTTTAGGAGTTGTAGCTGTTGAAATTGTTATTTCATTTGTTATTTCAATCTTTAAAATATTTATTGCGAAAAATAGCAAATGGATAACGATTTTATTTGTAGTACTGTTCATCTGTGGGTTTTGGTAAATATATATAATATATTATTTTGCTATTTTTATCTTAGGTGAGATAGCAAATATATGCCACTAATGTTGTAACCACCACCATAAGTATTTTAGATTTATCCTGGATCATTTTGAAAATTAATACATTCATTTCTTGATTGTTTATAGGATCATATCAAGTCAATTTTAAAAATTAAATAACTTGTAGGTATAGGGTTGGCATTCGCAAATATACATTTAAAGCGTATTAGTTTAAATAAATAATTAATTAATAAGTAAAATAAAAATTCTTTTTAACAAGAGGCATTTTTTTATTCATGTTAATCACATGCTTTTTTATTTAAATTTAGAAGATTAAAATAAAAAATACTATTGTTGGTACTTGGTAAACGTTAAAAACACCTAAAAAATATAAAAAATTATATTTTAACAAGCTTTTTTATACTCAAATGTTTAGCTCTTTAGCTGTCTAAAACTTACTTGTTCCAAACTAGATTGTCCCAAAGAATAATCTTCTATATTTAAAGTGTCATTATGTTTGGCCTCCTCTAAAATTCCAAACATTCTCGACACAGGAATGTCCGCGGTGTCCGCAATGTAATAGGTCAGCAACTCTTGGTGTCTTTCTCTTAGCGTCGCCATGGGAAATTTATCGCCAACGAAATCTTCTATGGGCTGAGTATCGCCACGTTCCAAACCGTCACTTTCCGGCGGCTTTTTCACCTTGATCGTTAACGTGTAGCCTTTGGCGAATTTGTTTTTCAAATGCTGACCGGAGCCGATGCATTTGAAATTGCCGTTCACCATTATGGCCAATCTCGTGCACAACGCTTCGCATTCCTCCATACTGTGGGAGGTTAGGATTATCAGTTTACCGTTGTCCCTTAGTTTGCACAAGGCGTCCCATAGGAATCTTCTCGTGACTGGGTCCATACCTGGATTGAAATAAAAACAATCAAATCAAATCAAATCATTTTTATACATGCCTGTGGTCGGTTCATCCAGGTAAATGACAGACGGGTCCCCAATGATAGAAACAGCAGTGCTCAGCTTCCTTTTGTTCCCTCCACTCAACTGTTTAACCTTTTTGCCCAAATGCTTGCTGAAATCCAAATCCCTGGCCAAACCATCCACGAGTTCTCTGCACTCCTTTTCGGGCACACCGCGAATCAAAGCGTACATTTTAAGCGTCTCCCTTGCAGTGAGATTGTCCAAAAGGGCATCGAATTGCGGGCAATAACCGACATGCTTCCTGACGTTCTTCAAATCGCTTCGGATGCTTTTGCCGTTGATCCAGGCGTCACCGTGCGACATCTTCAGGTCGCCCGTCAGCATGCGAAAAGTGGTCGTTTTTCCGGCCCCATTGACCCCCAACAGCCCGAAGCACTCGTACCCTTTGGCCGCCAAACACAAACCGTTCACGGCAAGTTTTTTTTTGTAGTACTTTGTGACGTCCTTCATGACCAACGTGTTTGCCTTGATCAAGTCTTCCGTGGCGTTTCGAACTTTCCGTTTTTCCTCGTATACATCGCTGTCTTCGTCCGGCACCTCTGCGGGACCGGAAGTTCTTCTTTTTTGTTTTATTAGTTTGTAATCGCACATTAGAAGGATTAGGAGTGTGAGGCTACCCAGCAATAAAAGGACGAAAACGTTAAGGCCGATCCCAGGTCTTTGGAAGCGGAAATGATAATCACCAGAATCTACAAAAGATATTTTAAACATTATATGAAATTGTAATTAAATGATGTACCTTTGCAATATTCGCTGTCGGCAATGTTGATACCATGCTTAGCCCATTCAGAGCAAGCGTTAATCTTGGAATTCAGCATAAATATTTGCAATATCCCATCACTCAAAGCGTAATACGGCAAAATAATAAAGATATAGTGCAAAATATTCGTTACTTTTTGGTTTCCTAATGCGGTTAACAACTGTATGGTCATAAAAGGCAGTAAACTAATCATAAGGCTTATTGTGGCCATGTTGGTGTAACCACCCGATGGAACTTGGAATAAAAATCCGCACAAGTAGAGTAGCGGCAATATGGCCACCCCAAAGCAAAGCATTAGGGCGAACAGTCTGCCTAATTCAACTGGTGTTGAAAATCCTGGTTGTTGAAAACAACTCAGAACAGTCACAAACAGCACCGCCATAAAACAGTACACCAGAAAATCGAATAGAAACGTCGTGATCCAAAATATCCAAACTTCAGCCCCAGATATCAGTTGAAGGTGTTTGGATTTGGAAATTCTTTCTTTTATTACGAACACAATGACCAACGTGACGGAAAATCCAAGACCGATGGGCACTAGGGAGGCCATGGTTGACCCAAAACTGTCTGTCGCAAATTGCTTCGTCTAAAACACTTCCTCATTAAGTAATGGGTAATTGCGTATTTTTTCTTACCATGGAGTTGGTGTTGTAAGGTAGAGGATGGTTGGAAAACTTCAAACTGCAATGAGAGCAACTTGAGAGAACTTTATATACAGTCTCCCATGCTAAAGATGATGCGATTCCCGGGGAATGATATGGATCGTTGTTGAAGTATACATTTATTATGGATTGTTTATCTTTTTTTTCGAAATATGCCCCCACTACGTAATGGAACTTAAACTCCTTGTTGTTTTCTTCTCTCTAAAATGTTTTCTTTGTCTAGCTGTCAAGTTTTTGATTGATATGCATACCAATCTAAGTGCAGTATCAGTTATATCCTTGGTTTTCTCAATTTCCGATTCTCTACCCACGATATCGAGAAAAGTATTGGAGTATGGTGATTCGTCGTCGACTTGCACGATTGTTTTGGGTGAGGCAAAATTATCCAAATTCAACTTTAACTCCGGCAAAGCGACTTGATGTCTGCCGCTGCTTAGAATGGCAACCAACAGAAAAATAATCGGCAACAGAATCAGAAGTAATAGAATAATCCATGCCCTTACAGACGAAAGGAATTTTTTCATGAACATGGCCCGAATTTGGTTGCAAGTCAATTTAAATCCTTTGCGTCTTTCCCCTGCGTATGAGATTTGAACTAAAACATATGTACATTTTTTGTATGCGAATTATGTGTAGATTTATTTACTTGTGGCTTCTTGGCTTTCACTAGTATTAACCAACACTTGATCAGATCCAACTCTGCAAAATAAAAAATTACCATATGTATCAAACTACATAATTTTACGCGCACTTTAAAAAAACTTCCTCTAAGGTCGTCATTGATATCCCATAACCATTAACACCCAATTCTTCTTGATGTTCCTCCAAATCTTTAAGCATTTCTTCAAATTTAGGCGCCTCATCTTCATCAAGCAAATAAGTTAACTCCGAACCAACATTACTATGCACCTTGAGAAAAAAACGAAAAACAAATGAAGCTTACAATAACAACGCAATTACTTCAATTTCGGGGATGTGGTTCCTCAAAAGATCCGTTACTTTCTGAACATCGCAATTTTCGGATTTGTCCAGAATCAGGTGATAACCAGCTCCGAATTTTTTCTTCAGAAAGAAACTTGAACCGCAGCATTTTAACACACCCCTGCTCATTATTGCTATCCTGTCTCCAAGGAGGTCTGCTTCGTCCATAAAATGAGTCGTTAAAAGAATCGTTCTACCTACATCAAATGTTGGTATTCAATGAACAAAACCATCGTTTTCCCAAAGGAAACGGTTTGGTAATTTTTCAAGCTTTGGTAGTTAATGTCAAAATTTTACCATTTTTTTGTTTTTGAATGAGTTCCCACAACGATCTTCTAGTTGATGGGTCCATTCCAGATGTCGGTTCATCCAACATTACCACTTTAGAGTTTCCACAAAATGCTATTGCAACGGACAACTTTCTTTTCATGCCTCCTGATAAAGTTTTGGATTTTGCATTTTTCTAAAACGTAAAAAAGTAATAAAAAACAAAAATGTGTGATTCATTGATGTTGACTTTGAGAAAATATGGTTCGTTTTGCAACTGGGTGAAATTCCTGAAATCAGCAATATTCTTAATATGAAAAAATTTTCTATTTTTTTCACTTTTTATTGAACCCTGCATTGTAGATCGTGAACTAATAACCGATTTAAGTGCAATTTCGTTTCCGATTTCACAAACTCAGAACTAGCAAATAAACAACGTACCTTGTCCTGAAATTCCAACATACTGACGTACCTATCAATCTCATTGGTTATGTCTTTCTTCCTCATGCCTTTCAGCCTGCTGTAAAAATAAATGTGATCGGCTACAGTCAGCTCGTCGAAAAGAATATCGTGTTGAGGACACAGCCCGAGAGAGTCCCTCACTCTTTTGGTTTGCGTTCTGATATCGTAACCGTTAATGATAGCGGTTCCGCTCGTAGACGGTATCATACCGGTTAACATGCTTATCGTCGTGGTTTTACCGGCACCGTTGTGGCCCAACAAAACCGTTATTTGGTTTTGGTACATGTCCAACGAGAGATTTTCCACAGCCACGTTGCTTTTGTACACTTTCCTTAAGTTTTGTATTTCTATACCGGCTTTTAAGTCATCAGGAGGTTTCTCGAAGAATTCGTCTTGCGTCGCGTTCGAAGGCTCGTGATTGGCCGTCCCGGTGTTCCTCGGTTGCCCGAACCAATAGGACGACGTGAAGGGAAAATAAAAGGGCTGCGCCAGACCGTACTCCCCCGGGAATATCGCCTCGAAGTACATCGCGATCAAAAAGTACAGCAAACTGTCCACAAGCAACATCACTATCATGAGTAACAACGTCAAATTCTCGCCTGGTGTTGGAGGTAGATGCATGTTGCTCCAGCCTATGCCTTCGCCCGTGGTTTCGTATTTTGCCATCGTTTGAAACCCGTATCCCATGGCGGTGTTGTAGCCCAAAGCGAAGGCCGTTTTTTCCGTCAGACTCAGCTGATCGTATTGCTTTTTGAGGAACATGTAAGGCGCCATGAAGATGACCGACACCAGAATTGCTATGTTTGCTGCAGTATCGGCTAAAATTTGAAAAATAGTACTTGAAAGAGGCATTTTTGTATTTACCTCTTGAAAAAAACACGCTGACAGCAAAACAGAACATAATTGTCGATAATGCGTAGAACAAAAGAAACAGTAGCACCACAGAGGGATCAGCACGAACAAAAATGTTGATTTTGAGTAGTATCACTAGAATAATGAATGGTATTAACATGAGTACAAAGGTTTTCACGAACCAGGCCGTCCAATGCAGCCAATTCGGCAAACCCATTATTTTCATGGCCTCCTAAAAAATGTTTATCACAAATCTTAATTTAACAGGGCCGTACTTACTTTAAGTTGGTTTTCTTTTTCATTCACTATCATTTCCACCGTTTTCATGCAGATGTAAGTGAAGCCGCACCAAATACACACGGGCAACATATCCACTAAAACCCCCAAGAGGGCAGCTTCCTTCCAAGCTGGATGCGGGAATCTTTGCATTTTGACCTCGGGGATCTCCGTTTCATCACTTACGGCCTGCATCAACTTTAAAACATCCCCTTTACTTTGCTGGTCAATATCTAAAGGTTTGTTCTTCCTTAGAGCTATTAGCGATAAGGTCAACATTAGTTGGGCTTGAATAAATTGCTCTTTGAAGTAGCCTGAACAAATTGAATTTATTGGTTTAGGTTATGCATATTTTCCCGAGACCTGATGTTTACTTGGTGTAGCTCCTGCATTTTCGTCATACTCTCTTGGTCCTTCTAGGGCGTCCACAGGATAATTCAAATACGTTTTCCAATTATCATTTGAGTTTTTGAGTTCGGCCGGAAACCTTACAGACAAAGAAACATCTTCATCTTTTGTGGAAAAGTTTGGAGGAAATTGCACTGCGAATAAAACCTCGTTTTCTTGTTTTTTATAATCGTTGTCTATATCATCCGAACCAGTGACGTTCCATACTTTGCCAAATACATCCATTACAGCTCTAGTGTCTTTATTGTCAGGGGAAAATAATATAACTGTTGAGGCGCCTGCTGGAAAGCCTAGGACATCAAAGGGTTCAAAAATTTTGGTATCGTGATTTTTTATTTTTGCGAACATAGCAACTATAACCAATAACATTACAACAAGGACTGGATATAAAATCGAGATTGCAATTTGTAAAGGATTTCGCCTTTCTAATTTCCAGTTTTTCCACATCAACACCGCAAATTTACCCCTGTTACTTGTCATTTTTTCTTCAACTGGAACATCGTTTCTATTCGGGTCTTCTTCGTCCATAATTTCAATGTTTTCATTTGTAGATTGTTCTTTTTCTTCCTCATTCTCGTTCGCTTGTGTTGGGTTTAAAGATTCCTGATTTTCTTGTTCTTGTTCTTCCTCATTTTCGTTCGCTTGCGTTGGGTTTGGGGATTCTTGATTTTCTTGTTCTTGTTCTTCCTCATTTTCGTTTGTTTCTTCTGTTTGAGTTCGTTTATTTTGATCCATTTTTGCTATTTAGACTCATTATTTTTTTATGACACTGACTGACACTTTTTATCATTTGATTTTAAGTTCATGTTCAGGTGTCAATAAAATAATTTTAATGTAAGCGTAATAGATCTTTACTTTTATACACCAAAATGGAGGAAAATCTCAGATATTTGAATTTTCGTAGATACTTTGAAATATTTAATATTAGTAGACCAAATGGTTCATATTATTTGAACATTGATTTATAGACAATTCTATATTGTTATAGTGTCAGTTGTATAATCTGTGGTCAGGCAGTTTTACAAAGATTATGACAGCAGTAGGTGAAAAATGGATGAAAATAAACGAATTGATGCAGAAGAAATAAACGAAAATGAGGAAGAAAATCAAGAATCCCAAAACCCAACACAAGCAAATGAAAATGAGGCAGAAGAATCTGAAAATCAAGAATCTCAAAACACATCCCAAGAACAGCAAGAACAATCTGCAAATGAAGAAGAAGACCAAAATAGAAACGATGAAACCACTACTAACATTCCAGTTATTAGCACTGTTTCAGTCGAACAACCCAAAGAAATAAAGACAAGTAATGGGGGTAAATTTATGTTGTTGATGTGGAAGAACTGGAGATTGCAAAGGCGAAAACGTGTACAGACTGTGATGGAAATTTTGGTTCCGATTCTTTTGACATTGTTGTTGGTTTTAATCGGTAGTACGATAACGATGGAAAGTCATGATTCCAAAGTTTTTGAACCGTTTGATGTTTCCAGCTTTCCAGCAAGCCTGGCAACAGTTATATTATACTCCCCTGACACTAAAGACACTAGCGCTGTAATGGATATATTTCGCATCACCAAAACATTGAACGTTACCGCTTCAGACGACATTGTCAATGATTACAGAAAACAAGAAAACGAGGTTTTTTTCGCTGTTGTTTTTCCTTCAAATTTTGCCACTAAAGATGAAGATATTTCTTTATCCATAAGATTCCCCTCCGAACTTAAATTTACTCAAGATACTAAGGAAGATAGCTGGAAAACTTATTCGAATTATCCTTTGGACGCCAAACAGGGACCGAGGAACCATGAAGAAAATACTGGAGCTACCCCAAGTAATCAGCTTTATAAAATATAACCTTGCATAACCTCAATTTTTTTTAGACTACTTCAAAGAACAATTTATTCAAGCCCAATCGATGTTAACAGTCTCACTAATAGCTGCAAAGAAGAACATACCTATAGATATTGACTTTCATAAGATGATGGAAGGTATTAGTGGTGATACTGGAATTCCCGTGGTAAAAATGCAAAGATTTCCGTATCCACCTTGGAAAGAATCTCCAATCTTGGAACAATTAAAAACAAGTTTGAGTCTGATGATAATGCTGGGCTTCATTTATTCTTGCATTAACATTGTGAAAATGATAACAAATGAAAAAGAAAACCAACTTAAAGTAAATACAGTTTTGTGATAGTATAGGTCCATTCTGGCCATTTTTTCCATGTCAAGGTCACGCGTATTGGCGTTTGCGAAGGCTCTGTAGCGGACAACCAGAATAGACCTAAGATTTTCCTAAGAGATATCGTCGATTGATAAAATATTTTTAGGAAGCCATGAAAATAATGGGTTTGTCAAATTGGCTGCATTGGACGGCTTGGTTCGTGAAATCCCTCATATTTCTTTTAATATCATGCATAATAATAGTGATACTCTTCAAAATCAACATTTTTGTTCGCGCTGATCCCTCTGTGATGCTGCTATTCCTTTCGTTCTACGCATCTTCGATTGTTATGTTCTGTTTTGCTGTCAGCGTATTTTTTTCAAGAGGTAAAACGGAGGTAAAATAAAACTAAATAAAATGCACGTTTGATTAAAATTTTAGCCGATACCGCAGCAGCAGTGGCAGGTTTGCTTTGGTTCATTTCCTTCATGCCTTACCTGATGCTTCAGGACCAAAACGATCGGCTGAGTCTGGCGGAAAAAATGGCCGCCGCTCTGGCTCACAACTCCGCCATGGGATACGGATTCGAAACGATGCTGAAATACGAAGCCGTGGACGAAGGCATAGCCTGGACGAACATGCATCTACCTCCAACGCCGGACGAGAATTTGACGTTGCTACACGTGATAGTGATGTTGCTTGTGGACAGTTTGCTGTACTTTTTGATCGCGATGTACTTCGAGGCGATATTCCCGGGGGAGTACGGTCTGGCGCGGCCATTTTATTTTCCCTTCACGTCGTCCTATTGGTTCGGGCAGCCGAGAAACACCGGGACGGCCAATCACGAGCTTTCGAACGCGACGCAGGACGAATTCTTCGAGAAACCTCCCGATAACTTGAAGGCCGGTGTGGAAATACGAAACTTAAGGAAAGTGTACAAAAGCAACGTGGCTGTGGAAAATCTCTCGTTGGACATGTACCAAAACCAAATAACGGTTTTGTTGGGCCACAACGGTGCCGGTAAAACCACGACGATATGCATGTTAACCGGTATGATACCGTCTACGAGCGGAACCGCTGTTATTAACGGTTACGATATCAGAACGCAAACCAAAAGAGTAAGGGACTCTCTCGGGCTGTGTCCTCAACACGATATTCTTTTCGACGAGCTGACTGTAGCCGATCACATTTATTTTTACAGCAGGCTGAAAGGCATGAGGAAGAAAGACATAACCAATGAGATTGATAGGTACGTCAGTATGTTGGAATTTCAGGACAAGGTACGTTGTTTATTTGCTAGTTCTGAGTTTGTGAAATCGGAAACGAAATTGCACTTAAATCGGTTATTAGTTCAAGATCTACAATGCAGGGTTCAATAAAAAGTAAAAAAAAATAGAAAAGTTTTTCATATTAAGAAAATTGCTGATTTCAGGAATATCACCCAGTTGCAAAACGAACCATATTTTTTTACGTTTTAGAAAAATGCAAAATCCAAAACTTTATCAGGAGGCATGAAAAGAAAGTTGTCCGTTGCAATAGCATTTTGTGGAAACTCTAAAGTGGTAATGTTGGATGAACCGACATCTGGAATGGACCCATCTGCTAGAAGATCGTTGTGGAAACTCATTCAAACACAAAAAAATGGTAAAATTTTGACATTAACTACCAAAGCTTGAAAAATTACCAAACCGTTTCCTTTGGTTTTGTTCATTGAATACCAACATTTGTGTAGGTAGAACGATTCTTCTAACGACTCATTTTATGGACGAAGCAGACCTCCTTGGAGACAGGATAGCAATAATGAGCAGGGGTGTGTTAAAATGCTGCGGTTCAAGTTTCTTTCTGAAGAAAAAATTCGGAGCTGGTTATCACCTGATTCTCGACAAATCCGAAAATTGCGATGTTGAGAAAGTAACGGATCTTTTGAGGAACCACATCCCCGAAATTGAAGTAATTGCGTTGTTATTGTAAGCTTCATTTGTTTTAGTTTTTTTCTAAAGGTGCATAGTAATGTTGGTTCGGAGTTAACTTATTTGCTCGATGAAGATGAGGCGCCTAAATTTGAAGAAATGCTTAAAGATTTGGAGGAACATCAAGAAGAATTGGGCGTTAATGGTTATGGGATATCAATGCCGACCCTAGAAGAAATTTTTTTAAAGTACGCATTAAATTACGTAGTTTCGTACATTATGGTAATTTTTTATTTTGCAGAGTTGGATCTGATCAAGTGAATAATAGTGAAAGCCAAGAAGTCACAGGTAAATAAATCAATACATAATTTGCATACAAAAAATGTACTTACATATATGTTTTAGTTCACATCTCATACACAGGGGAAAGACGCAAAGGATTTAAATTAACCCGTAATCAATTTCGCGCCATGTTCATGAAAAAGTTCCTTTCATCCATAAGGTCATGGATAATTCTATTAATTCAGATTCTACTGCCGATAATTTTTTTGTTGCAAATCCTTATTGCAAATTATATGAGCGGCAGACAACAACTGGCTTTGCCGGAGTTAAAGTTGAATTTGGATAATTTTGCCTCACCCAAAACAATCGTGCAAGTCGACGACGAATCACCATACTCCAATACTTTTCTCGATATCGTGGGTAGAGAATCGGAAATTGAGAAAACCAAGGATATAACTGATACTGCACTTAGATTGGTATGCATATCAATCAAAAACTTGACAGCTAGACAAAGAAAACATTTTAGAGAGAAGAAAACAACAAGGAGTTTAAGTTCCATTACGTAGTGGGGGCATATTTCGAAAAAAAAGATAAACAATCCATAATAAATGTATACTTCAACAACGATCCATATCATTCCCCGGGAATCGCATCATCTTTAGCATGGGAGACTGTATATAAAGTTCTCTTGAATTGCTCCCATTGCAGTCTGAAGTTCGCCAACCATCCACTACCTTACAGCACGAAGACCATGGTGAGTTACAAGCCAAAACATGTTAAAATCATACAATTACTATTTCAGATGAATCAATTAATGTTGAATAGCTTTGGTTCTCAACTGGCCTTTCAAGTGGGCTACGGTTTGGCTTTTTCCGTCCCAATTTTCATTTTGTTCGTGATAAGAGAGAGAACTTCCAAATCCAAACACCTCCAACTGGTGTCTGGGGTTGAAGTTTGGATATTTTGGATCACGACGTTCCTTTACGATTTTCTGATATACCTTTTTATTGTGGTGCTGTTTGTGACTCTTTTGAGTTGCTTTCAAACGGAAGGACTGTCGAAGCCGGCAGATTTAGGTTTGTGGTGTATTTTGGTTTTTCTTGGTTCACCGAGTTTTATTTCCAGGCAGACTGGTCGCCATAATGCTTTGCTTTGGAGTGGCCGTATTGCCGCTGCTGTATTGCTTCGGATTTTGCTTCGAGGTTCCGTCGACTGGTTACACGAAAATGGTCATTATAAGCTTTTTTACTGGCGCTATGGCTGTTTTGTTGGCGCAGATGTACGGCGCACTTGGATTTAAGACAATATCGGATGTTTTTCACTATGTGTTGATGATATCGCCGTTTTTTGCCTTGAGTGAAGGGATATTGCACATGTCAATGCTGTATGACAAGAACAGGGCTTGCTCTGAATGGGCGAAGCATGGTGTTGACATTGATGTCATGGCGTTTTGTAAAGGTAACATCTATAGATTGATTATTTAAAATGAATTGATTTCAATTTTTCTTCTAGATTCTGGTGATGATTATTTTCGCCTCGAAAGACCTGGGATCGGTTACAACGTGTTGGTCCTCCTATTGCTGGGTAGCATCTTACTTCTAGCCCTTTTTCTCTACGATTACCAAATAGTAAAGGATGTGGGAATGAGCTCGGGTCCCGTAGAGGTGCCGGACGAAGACAGCGATGTATACGAGGAAAAACGGAAAGTTCGAAACGCCACGGAAGACTTGATCAAGGCAAACACGTTGGTCATGAAGGACGTCACAAAGTACTACAAAAAAAAACTTGCCGTGAACGGTTTGTGTTTGGCGGCCAAAGGGTACGAGTGCTTCGGGCTGTTGGGGGTCAATGGGGCCGGAAAAACGACCACTTTTCGCATGCTGACGGGCGACCTGAAGATGTCGCACGGCGACGCCTGGATCAACGGCAAAAGCATCCGAAGCGATTTGAAGAACGTCAGGAAGCATGTCGGTTATTGCCCGCAATTCGATGCCCTTTTGGACAATCTCACTGCAAGGGAGACGCTTAAAATGTACGCTTTGATTCGCGGCGTGCCCGAAAAGGAGTGCAGAGAACTCGTGGATGGTTTGGCCAGGGATTTCGATTTCAGCAGGCATTTGGACAAAAAGGTTAAACAGTTGAGTGGAGGGAACAAAAGGAAGCTGAGCACTGCTGTTTCTAGCATTGGGGACCCGTCTGTCATATACCTGGATGAACCGACCACAGGTATGTATAAAAATGATTTGATAGGACGAGCTGTTTTTATTTCAACCCAGGTATGGACCCAGCCACCAGAAGATTCCTATGGGACGCCTTGTGCAAACTAAGAGACAACGGTAAACTGATAATCCTAACCTCCCACAGTATGGAGGAATGCGAAGCGTTGTGCACGAGATTGGCCATAATGGTGAACGGCAATTTCAAATGCATCGGCTCCGGTCAGCATTTGAAAAACAAATTCGCCAAAGGCTACACGTTAACGATCAAGGTGAAAAAGCCGCCGGAAAGTGACGGTTTGGAACGTGGCGATACTCAGCCCATAGAAGATTTCGTTGGCGATAAATTTCCCATGGCGACGCTAAGAGAAAGACACCAAGAGTTGCTGACCTATTACATTGCGGACACCACGGACATTCCTGTGTCGAGAATGTTTGGAATTTTAGAGGAGGCCAAACATAATGACGCTTTAAATATAGAAGATTATTCTTTGGGACAATCCAGTTTGGAACAAGTAAGTTTCAACTTTTACCTGCTTTAACAAAATAATTTTTATATTTTTGTTAGGTGTTTTTAACGTTTGCCAAGTACCAAGAATAGTAGGTCCTATAGGTATTAATTTTATTACAAGTTATGTGATTTACATGAATAAATAAATATTTATATACCTACCTCTTGTTAAAAAGTATTTTTATTAAACAACAATTGTTATGACATACATTATTGATAGGTTAACTATGGCTTGGTTGTCAAATTTAATATTGTCCATTATTTATTTCCTGCGTTGCCATGTTTATTGTATGGTTCATCCTTCCATTGAGTTTTTAAGTAACGTAAAATATATGTTACGAAAAATTATCTTAATTGTATTCTGATAATTTTCTATCACGTTATTGCTATTGCTCGAATTTCTCTAGGAATTTGGACCTTTGATGAAGTTGCTTAGTATACAAGCACTGAAAACTAACCAAAATTAATTTGTTTTTAATATATGTATATGTATGTATATCTATTGTTATGTGATAATATCATTTTGCATATGCCTTGGTATAATCGCGGTTTTCTTTTACTTATAACTTTTTTACCAAAAATATTTTCCCAAAATTTCTACTACTTATGGTACAGTGAGTTATTATGAAAAATTTAGGTTTTATTTTAGGAAATACTATATATTCCCATGTCTTCTGCATTTGTTTACTTTTAAACGAAAAAACTATTATGTGTGGATATTCCATTTGAGTAGCGCGCCAGTTTATTAATTTTTTTTTAAAATGCTTTACAAAGCCTTAATTACATGTAGTATAAGATAATTTAGAGGAAGAGGTCTGGTATTTACTGTAAAAACAAAAATATTAAATTAATTACAGAGCAGCAGTTAAAAAAATAAAATTCGTATAATTTACTTCAAAACGTGTATGTATGTGATGCGTGCGGGGCGCACGTGAGGTCGCACGTGAGGGCGCACGTGCGGGCGCACGTGCGGGGCGCACGTGAGGGCGCACGTGCGGGGCGCACGTGAGGGCGCACGTGCGGGGCGCACGTGAGGGCGCACGTGCGGGGCGCACGTGAGGGCGCACGTGCGGGGCGCACGTGAGGGCGCACGTGCGTGGAGCACGTGAGGGCGCACGTGCGGGGCGCACGTGAGGGCGCACGTGCGGGGCGCACGTGAGGGCGCACGTGCGGGGCGCACGTGAGGGCGCACGTGCGGGGCGCACGTGAGGGCGCACGTGCGGGGCGCACGTGAGGGCGCACGTGCGGGGCGCACGTGAGGGCGCACGTGCGGGGCGCACGTGAGGGCGCACGTGCGGGGCGCACGTGAGGGCGCACGTGCGGGGCGCACGTGAGGGCGCACGTGCGGGGCGCACGTGAGGGCGCACGTGCGGGGCGCACGTGAGGGCGCACGTGCGGGGCGCACGTGAGGGCGCACGTGCGGGGCGCACGTGAGGGCGCACGTGCGGGGCGCACGTGAGGGCGCACGTGCGGGGCGCACGTGAGGGCGCACGTGCGGGGCGCACGTGAGGGCGCACGTGCGGGGCGCACGTGCGGGGCGCACGTGAGGGCGCACGTGCGGGGCGCACGTGAGGGCGCACGTGCGGGGCGCACGTGAGGGCGCACGTGCGGGGCGCACGTGAGGGCGCACGTGCGGGGCGCACGTGAGGGCGCACGTGCGGGGCGCACGTGAGGGCGCACGTGCGGGGCGCACGTGAGGGCGCACGTGCGGGGCGCACGTGAGGGCGCACGTGCGGGGCGCACGTGCGGGGCGCACGTGAGGGCGCACGTGCGGGGCGCACGTGAGGGCGCACGTGCGGGGCGCACGTGAGGGCGCACGTGCGGGGCGCACGTGCGGGGCGCACGTGAGGGCGCACGTGCGGGGCGCACGTGAGGGCGCACGTGCGGGGCGCACGTGAGGGCGCACGTGCGGGGCGCACGTGAGGGCGCACGTGCGGGGCGCACGTGAGGGCGCACGTGCGGGGCGCACGTGAGGGCGCACGTGCGGGGCGCACGTGAGGGCGCACGTGCGGGGCGCACGTGAGGGCGCACGTGAGGGCGCACGTGAGGGCGCACGTGAGGGCGCACGTGAGGGCGCACGTGAGGGCGCACGTGAGGGCGCACGTGAGGGCGCACGTGAGGGCGCACGTGAGGGCGCACGTGAGGGCGCACGTGAGGGCGCACGTGAGGGAGCACGTGAGGGCGCACGTGAGGGCGCACGTGAGGGCGCACGTGAGGGCGCACGTGAGGGCGCACGTGAGGGCGCACGTGAGGGCGCACGTGAGGGCGCACGTGAGGGCGCACGTGAGGGCGCACGTGAGGGCGCACGTGAGGGCGCACGTGAGGGCGCACGTGAGGTCGCACGTGAGGGCGCACGTGAGGTCGCACGTGCGGGGCGCACGTGAGGGCGTGGTCGAATTAGTTGGGAAAAAGTATTTTTGCAACTTTTTTTTTCAACTTTTTCAGACAAAATCTCATGTAACTTCCGAACGCAAAGAGATACAAAAGCGCGGTTTGATTTTATGGAATCAGCGTGGTCGAATTAGTTGGGAAAAAGTATTTTTGCAACTTTTTTTTTCAACTTTTTCAGAAAAAATCTGATGTAACTTCCGAACGGGAAGAGATACGAAAGCGTGGTTTGAATTTTTGGAATCAGCGTGGTCGAATTAGTTGGGAAAAAGTATTTTTGCAACTTTTTTTTCAACTTTTTCAGACAAAATCTCATGTAACTTCCGAACGCGAAGAGATACAAAAGCGCGGTTTGATTTTATGGAATCAGCGTGGTCGAATTAGTTGGGAAAAAATATTTTTGCAACTTTTTTTTTCAACTTTTTCAGACAAAATCTCATGTAACTTCCGAACGCGAAGAGATACAAAAGCGCGGTTTGATTTTATGGAATCAGCGTGGTCGAATTAGTTGGGAAAAAGTATTTTTGCAACTTTTTTTTTCAACTTTTTCAGACAAAATCTCATGTAACTTCCGAACTCGAAGAGATATAAAGCGCGGTTTGAATTTTTGGAATCAGCGTGGTCGAATTAGTTGGGAAAAAGTATTTTTGCAACTTTTTTTTTCAACTTTTTCAGAAAAAATCTCATAAGGGGGACCCTTTTGAGAAAAATATCGCGATTTTCGAGTGTAACTTCCGAACGCGAAGAGATACAAAAGCGCGGTTTGATTTTATGGAATCAGCGTGGTCGAATTAGTCAGGAAAAAGTATTTTTGCAACTTTTTTTTTCAACTTTTTCAGAAAAAATCTCATGTAACTTCCGAACGCGAAGAGATACGAAAGCGCGGTTTGATTTTTTGGAATCAGCGTGGTCGAATTAGTCAGGAAAAAGTATTTTTGCAACTTTTTTTTTTCAACTTTTTCAGAAAAAATCTCATGTAACTTCCGAACGGGAAGAGATACGAAAGCGCGGTTTGAATTTTTGGAATCAGCGTGGTCGAATTAGTTGGGAAAAAGTATTTTTGCAACTTTTTTTTTTTTTAACTTTTTTAGAAAAAATCGAATTTGTCCTTTCGTTTCTCACCATTTTTAAAAATTTTCCCGTTCGTTTTTTAAATTCTCCCCAATCTGCGAATTTTTCCTCCTATTTTTTAAAATTATCCCAATGTGCGAATTTTTCTCACTATTTTTTAATTTATCCCTCTATGCGATTTTTTCCAATTTTTTAAATTTATCCCACTGTGCGAATTTGTCCTATGAACAGTGCCATCTGTTATCCAGTAACCAAACGTTGAATTTACAGAAAACTTTATCAAACACTTATTACGTTGAATTTACAGAAAACTTTATCAAACATTATTCAACGTTTGGTTACCGGATAACAGATGGCGCCGTTTAAAGAACAATTTCGCACAGTGAGATAAATTTAAAAAATATTAGGACAAATTCGCACAGTGAGATAAATTTTAAAATTTTTTTAATAATTGTTCGATAAAGTTTTCTGTAAATTTAACGTTTGGCTACCGGATAACAGATGGCGCTGTTCAAAGGACAAATTCGCACAGTGGGATAAATTTAAAATTTAGGAGGACAAATTTGCACAGTGGGATAAATTTAAAATTTAGGAGGAAAAATTCGCACATTGGGATAAATTTATAATTTAGGAGGACAAATTCGCACAGTGGGATTAATTTAAAATTTAGGAGGACAAATTCGCACAGTGGGATAAATTTAAAATTTAGGAGGACAAATTTGCACAGTGGGATAAATTTAAAATTTAGGAGGAAAAATTCGCACATTGGGATAAATTTATAATTTAGGAGGACAAATTCGCACAGTGGGATTAATTTAAAATTTAGGAGGACAAATTCGCACAGTGGGTTAAATTTAAAATTTAGGAGGACAAATTTGCACAGTGGGATAAATTTAAAATTTAGGAGGACAAATTCGCACAGTGGGATAAATTTAAAATTTAAGAGGACAAATTTGCACAGTGGGATAAATTTAAAATTAAGGAGGACAAATTCGCACAGTGGGATAAATTTAAAATTTAAGATAACAAATTTGCACAGTGGGATAAATTTAAAATTAAGGAGGACAAATTCGCACAGTGGGATAAATTTAAAATTTAGGAGGACAAATTCGCACAGTGGGATAAATTTAAAATTTAAGAGGACAAATTTGCACAGTGGGATAAATTTAAAATTAAGGAGGACAAATTCGCACAGTGGGATAAATTTAAAATTTAAGATAACAAATTTGCACAGTGGGATAAATTTAAAATTAAGGAGGACAAATTCGCACAGTGGGATAAATTTAAAATTTAGGAGGACAAATTTGCACAGTGGGATAAATTTAAAATTTAGGAGGACAAATTTGCACAGTGGGATAAATTTAAAATTAAGAAGGACAAATTCGCACAGTGGGATAAATTTAAAATTTAAGAGGACAAATTTGCACAGTGGGATAAATTTAAAATTAAGGAGGACAAATTCGCACAGTGGGATAAATTTAAAATTTGGGAGGACAAATTTGCACAGTGGGATAAATTTAAAATTTACGAGGACAAATTCGCACAGTGGGGAAAAACATTTTTGAACCAGTATCAGTATTATGCATGCCCACTCATATGTTAGGTGAAGTTACAGTCAAGTGGGTGGAGGC